TCCGCCCCGCAGCTGGGCCCGGCCGCGCCACCTCCCTCAGGCCCCCACGCCCGGCCCGGCCGGCGTCAGGGCAACGCGCCGCTGACTACAACTCCCAATGTCCAACGCGCCGAACGCGCCTTGAGTCTAAGGAAAAGAGGTTCGCTGCATGCCGGGAGTCTATAGTCTTCCGGCTTCAGGCGCTCCACGGCGCACCTTTTTGGTCTCACTGAAGTCAAAGGGCAAGATGACATGCCGGGAAATGTAGTCTTTTTGAATTGTGCTCTGTAGGGGTGGAAGGAGAGGAAGAGTGAAATGTCAAAAAGATCAGTATTGGGAGGTGATTGTCAGTGTCAAAGCCCTGGGCAGTACCCAGTACCCAAAACAACAACAATAGTAATTAACATTGTGCATTTTGTGATCCAGATGTGTAAAATGCCTTACACATTATCACCTTTATTTCTCAGCCTAAAACAGATAATTCTGTTTTTTTTAAAAGGAAAGTAAACTAAGAACTCAATGAAATAAAGTGACTAGTTTAATTACTGTCTTTGAGAAAGTGTTCCTCTACTACTCTATTCATAGCAGGTTTTCTGAAACCTAGGAAGAAAGAACTTCAACTGAAAGCTTCACGCCTGCCTTGAGCCAGGTATCAGTGACTCACTCCTGTATTCTACCTACTCACTCAGAAGGCTGAAATCAGAGGCTCCCAGTTCAAAACAGCCTTAGCAGACAAATCCTTGACACTCTTACCTCCAATTAGCCAGCTGGAAGTAGAGGTGTGGTTCTAGTCCCAGTACTGGCATGGAGGGGCAGGGAGAAGAGGAGGGGGGAGTCGAAGGGGAGGGGAAAGACGGGAGAGGTAGGGAGGAAGGTAGAGGGAGGGAGGGAAGGAGGGAGGAAGGAGAGGAGGAGGAAGAGGAGGAGGAAAAGGAGGAGGAGGAGGAAGAAGGAGAAGAGGAAAAAGGAGGAAGGAAAAAAGAGGAGGAGGAGGAGGAAAAAAAAGTCAGGCACTAAAAGCCAGGTGCTGGTGGGTCACATATGTAATCCTAGCTATTCAGGAGGTTGAGATCTGAGGATAGAGCTTCAAAGCCAGCCCTGACGAGAAAGTCTGTGATCTCCAATTGATCACTAAAAAAAAAAAAAAAAAGCCAAGCCAGGCACCAGTGGCTCATGCCTGTAATCCTAGCTACTCAGGAGGCTGAGATCTGAGGATCATGGTTCAAAGCCAGCCCAATAAACTATTAGAGTCTTATCTCCAATAAACCACCAGAAAACTGGAAGTGGTGCTGTGACTCAAGTGGTAGAGCACTCACCTGAAGCTGAAGAGCTCTGGACAGCACCCAGGTCCTAGAGTTCAAGCCCAGAAAAAAAAAGCCAAAAGTAGAGTTGTAGCTCAAATGGAAGAGTGTTAATCTTGAACAAAAAAGCTCAGGGACCGAGATCAAGCCCCAAGTGGAGCACACACACAGTGACACAGAGAACTTGACCAAAGTTTCTTCTGTTGTATTACTTAAGTTGTCTCTCCCCCAGGCTAGATAGATCTCATAGAGACAAAAGCTACACTTTGGACATTGTTATTGACACAGCCTCCTTTGTTTACTTACCAAGTGCAGTTACCAGATTAGTTCATTCCAATCAACTTTCCATATTGGAAGACATTTTCAAATGTGAGAGACACACTAGGACTTTGAAGAACTTGTAGCAGCATAAAGTGTGAAACCCACAATTGTACCTCCAGTCTGTTCTGTAACTGAGAATCTGGATGTTTTGCCAATGTAAAAATAAGCATAAGGACTGGGAATGTGGTTTAATAGTAGAGTGCTTGCTAGCATGAATGAAGCCTTGGGTTTGATTCCTCAGTATCACATAAACAGAAAAAGCTGGAAGTGTTGTTGTGGCTCAAGTGGTAGAGTGCTGCTAGCCTTGAGCAAAAGAAGCTCAGGAGGGCTGGGAAGGTGGCTCAGCGGTAGAGCGCTTGCCTTGCATGCCTGAGGCCCTGGGTTCGATTGCTCAGCACCACATAAGCAAAAAGAAAAAAAAAAGCTGGAAGTGGCGCTGTGGCTCAAGTGGTAGAGCGCTAGCCTTGAGCTGAAGAGCTGAGGGACAGCGCCCAGGCCAAGAGTTCAGGCCCCACGACCGGACCCAAAAAAAAAAACAAAACACAAAGAAACTCAGGAACAGTACTCAGACCCTGAGTTCAAGCACCAGGACTGGCAAAAAATAATCATAAGGGGCCGAGCACCTCTAATCCTAGCTGCTCAGGAAGCTGAAATCTGAGGATCACAGTTCAAAGGTAGTTTAGGCAGGAAAGTCTGTGAGACTCTTAGACTCTTATCTCCAATAAACTATCACCCCTCCCCCCCACTTCCCCCCCCCCTCCAGCCAGAAGTAGAATTGTGGCTCAAGTGGTAGATTGCTAGCCTTGAGCAAAAGAAGCTAAGGGACACTGCCCAGGCCCTGAG